CTAGGCAATTGATTTGTTATACACACTGGGTGAGTTTTCTCATCTATAATATATAGTAAAGCTGAGAGGTGCACTTCAGGACGAGTGATGAAGAGGATACACACTAACTATTGAAAGCATTAACCGTAGACAACTGGTTTAACATAATATACAATAGATGATTAATTTATCTGATCCGAACCCACTTGGTTTTTTTAGATTCTCTTTTTACAAAATTGGGAATCATATAGGTTTTTTTTTTAGATGTTATGTTAATATAATAAAGAAGATTTATTAAATTACAGATGATATAGGGTCCTCCGTCGTCCGTGAGGAACGATCGGTATCCCGGTGGGCCGTTAATTCGTCATTTATATTCCTACTTTCGACATTCTTTTACTCCTGTCATTCTTTTATCATCAATTTCGTAATGTATACTTTCTTACCCTTGTCATTCCTTTCTTAATATATATTTTCCCACCCTTGTCATTCCTTAATTTCAAATTCACCAAAGTGTGGTACACAGGTCACTTGAGTATTGATCTCTTTATTTTACTCTTAGATATATTTTTAATATATAATTTGTTATATCCGATTTATTGATAATTCTATAATGTATTTCTTTGTATTTTATTCTGTACTTTTTTTTAAAAAAAAAAAATTAATAAAGCTGTCTTTGGTGGCCGATTTCGCATACATAATTATGTTTAATCGCGTTTACTTTTGCATGTGTATTTCGTTATTACTGTATTATATATTATTGATACCGATGTATATGATCAATCCGGAAATTTTTAATTGAAAAGTCTATATCTAATTTAAATCAATTTACGATTATGTAAAACGGTAATATGGATGAGCAGAACACAAAACCAAAATTCTATAGAGACTTAACCCCTGAATATTTGGCTAAAATTGCTATAATTCAAAGTATTTCGATAAATGAGATTCGTCCCGAATTATACAATAGATATAAAAAAGAAACTGATCTTTATCCTTGGATAAACTCTGAATCTTTCACAAACACAGCACGAAATTAATACGTATACCAGAATTAGTGTAACATCGATTTGAAGATCTTTGGAATGAAGTAAAAATATTTTCTGAAGAAATGCTTTATGAACAAGTTTTTGTACCCAGATCATTTGAAGATAAAGAAATTGAACTTAAAAATGAGAATATCAAAATTAAAACAGAGAAAGCAAGTTAAAACAGGATATAGATGAACTAAAAAAAAGAGCTAGAGTTTAAGAAAAATAATAAACTTTAGGAGAAATGTGTTCTAATAGTTCAAGTATTACTTGGAAAAGAACCTATATTGAATATCGTCCATCTTTTATGGAGGGATTAGAGCTTGATGCTTTCTTTCCATGTCATCGAATTGCATTAGAAGTGCACCTCTCAGCTTTACTATATATTATAGATGAGAAAACTCACCCAGTGTGTATAACAAATCAATTGCCTAG